AAGATCAATCGTACTCAGTGCTTCGACCCCACCTTCGGCAGCAATTTGCTGTAAATTTGGATTTCGAATCTCGTCATTTAATTCACATGACACAAAGCAGTGATCCCGTTAATTAAAGGTAAATCACTTTGTCATCGGCTTTGAGTTCGCGCAGTTTCATATGAAGCTGGAATCTAAGGATTTCTGGGCTTCCAAGGGGCTGGATAGACATTACACGACAAAGTGACCTGCAAAGCATCAAGATCAGCATTATGTAAAGATAGTTTCATATGCTAACATTAGTAGAGTTTAAAGAAGAACACAAAAAAAAAATGCGAGAACAGTGATTACCGCAATTGACTCATGCTGAGATTATCCAAAGTAAGCTCATCTTCAAAAAGTTTCGTAAACTTTAACAGATCTTTGTTCGAGACGTAGCCACCTTCTGATCTCACCTGAAATGAAGTGCAAAATCTCTTTGTGATGAATTCCATAGAGCGATGATAACCCACTTTTTTGATAAACTGTGCAAATTCAACTGCCTTAGAGCCTTTTGGCTCCATAGCCTTCGATCTTCTTTCAAGAGCGATTTCTTCAATGGTATCTTGCAAAAACTTCGCCATTTCCACCTTTACTTGTACTTGCTTCCGGAGCCTTTCCTCCTGAAATTGGGTGGTGATAGCAAAGCTGATTATGAACAAGGAACAAAATCACATCATACAATATACCTCTTTGCTGCTCTCTTGGAATGTGCTAGGTAACATGTTCGGGAAGAGCTTGATGAAGATGGGCAAGGTAAGCTCCAAAAATGGCACGATGATAAATATCGAAAAGGGCACGATTCGGAAAAGATCAGAAACAGTGCGAACCTAAAATTTGATGGAATACAAAAAAGAAGGAATTTAATAAATCAAATAAACAAGCGAAATAAGAATATGATTTGGTCCTTGAAGTAAAACTTACGTAAACTAGATGAAATAAGAGAGCATAAAGACGTGATACTTAGACTAGTACATTTTAGTAATTTAATAATTTAATGAGGTGCATCAACAACCATCAACAAAACAACCTTTAAACAAGTCCGATTTTGTCCCATGCAGAACTACAAAGACAAGTCGCCACATTTGACAAAAGGCATGAATAAAAATCGATCAGTGAGTTGTCTGCATCTTCCTTTCCAGGTATTTCAAAATTTGCCAGAAAAAAATGTATTTCAAAAAAAAAATTCAAAAGCCCACATTGATGTCCGATAATTTGATCAAGAGGATCATACAAGGTTGTTGGCGTCTTATGGTAAAAAATTCTTAGATGCAGGTCGTGTTCATATATAATTTTACCAGAAAAAGCCCAAGAGATGTTACTGTCCCAAAAATCATACTCTAAAGATGAATCTAGGACAGTGAACACACCTCACACAGCAAAAAAACGATAATCTTTTTAAAAAAACCACGCTAGAAAATATAGTACATTCCTCTTAAAATGTATACGCCGTGGCCCTAACCTTCTAGCGTGATCAAAACTAAAAAAGCTTTGTAATCAACCCAGATAATTCTTTATAAATTCATCAAAAGAACAGTTACCAAAATTGAAACCATGAAAGACAGATTCAGTTTTTTTTTTCAAGTCAGTAAGAACTCGAGTGTCTAAAGGTTAACTTTTCAAATTGCGAATTTAAACAAA